ATCACTTTAACAGGAGTCGATTCAGGTAGATGGCTAAAAATGCTGGCAGCTGCCCCAGTGTGACCATCTCGTACTATAAGTTTCTGAAATGGTGAAAAGAATCATTAAGTGTATATATAAATTCTGCATGTACTTCTTAGTGGCCATGTGCTTCTTTGTGTGGGTATGAAAATGCAAGAGTTTGGGTATATGCATGTATGTAACATCATATTGCACTACTAACATGATATTTATCAAACTTGTGTTCAGATAATGTAAACAAGGAAACATGTACCGTGCCAATCCTTGGAGCTATGAGTTTTACAATAGTCTCATTACACTCTGACTCAGCAATTATGTCTAGCCACTGTTGCTCTGTCGTCTCTGACTTTGTCAGTAGCTGTACCAGTTCTTCTGCATGTTGGTCAAGAGTACATTTACCATTTTCATGCAACAATCCACATAGGTGAAGCAACACATTCTGGTACTTAGGCAACGAAGATTCATCACATTTTAACTCTTCCAGAATATTCTTCAAGGTCTTGGCCCCATTCCGCATCAAACACGTGTGAATCCATTCCGCTGCAAAAAATTCCATTATGCTTTTGTGGGGAGCAGTAAGGTGAAGTGCATATCCACCTGCAGTCCATTCTCTGGTCACATTCATAAAGGCTGCAGACATTTCTTGAAATGGTAGTTCAAGGGCCTTGCATTTCTTCTTAAGTGCCTGTTCTGATGATTCACTCAGCTGCAGGGAGTCATTTATAATCTCCTCAAAACTTTTTTCATACAGCACCTCCATGTATTCTGTGACATGATCAGAAATTTCATCCCATGAACAATAAAGTTTATCCACAAGGCGATTTACCAAACGCTTTTTAATGAGTTCAAGAATTCTTAAGAAGAGGTGAGTGGCTGTTGTGACTGAATTGACATCTTCTGGGCTTGCAGCCCATAAGTAGGTCAAGAGAGTAAGATTTAGAGGCAAACGAAAATGTTCTCCCAGGCGAGCTTCTGATTTCTTTACGTAATCCATCAACTTCTGCGTGTCTTGTTGGCTCATTTTTTCTTTTTTCATTTCCTCGTGCAGTTTATACACAAACTCTGGTCTTTGCTCAGCTGTGATGCCCAAAATTCTCATGTGTATCCATTCAGACTTTATGCAGTAGTTGGGTAATTCCCTTAGTGCCTGTGGTCTTGTAGTTAGCAGAAGGTGAAAGACACCTGTGCTCTTTGGCATCTTATCCATCACAATTTCCTCTACTAACTGTCTAGAAGCTTTGTTTAGTTCATCCAGTCCATCGAGAATTAGAAGAACTCTGAGTGCCAACACAGATCGCACAATGTCCTCATTTGACATGGAGTAAGAAGCACAAGGCATGAGCAAGTTTAGCAACTCAGCAAAGTTTGTAACAAATTTGTTCTTGCATTCAGCATACAAGACAATTTCATAGTTCTCTAGATTTTCAATCTGTGGGTGAGATGTGGGGACATCTCAGCCCACTCTGCCAGAATGAGTTTTCCAAATGTGCTCTTCCCTGCACCTGCCTCCCCTTCAATTACTATTATGTTGGGCATCTCTCCCTTTTCAGTCTTCTGCACTAGCACAGATTTGTAATCAATGTGAGTTTGACTTTGTGCTTTATCTTCCATTATAACTTCCAAATTTGTGAAAATGGCTCTCACTTTAAGCGTCTCTTTGCCTGATATGAAAGATGCTGGGTCCACGTTTGTCTGGCCCTTTATTTTCTCCTTTACCTCTACCACTCCACTGTTTTTATATAATTTTCTAAATGCTCTCTTAGCTCTCTGATTTCATCTTGGTACTTGTCAGCATCTACAGGCAGGCCTGGTGCATTCTTTTTTTTTCAATATTGGCATTCATTCTTTTTACTGCGTCATCAATTATTGAGGCTGGGATAGAGTAGCGGCTGCCAGCAGACTCGTATCCCTTCTCCAACAGACTTTGCAGGTTTACAAGCCAGTCAATCATAGCTTTCTCATCTGGAAGTTCCAAACCATGGCAACACTATTTCTCTGATCTTTAATCATACTACAGTAGTTCTCAAGTTTATTACCTTTAGCTTTCCATTTGTCAGGTTCATTGGGAGGTGCAACATTTTCACAAGCATTCCTGATGACAGCATGAAGTAAACTTACATCAAATGTTTTTCCTGAAGAGTCTGCATCAATCGTCTGTCTCATATGAGCATAAAATATTTTTTCGTAATCTGATTCTTCCATGCCTTTGCTCATCAGGTACTCTTTAACTGTTTTGTTTTTACCTTTGGGACATCCTCTCTGAAATACAAACAGGAGGAATGCTTTTCCTTCACAGGAAATACATTTGAACACCTTCAATAGGCGGATGTCTCTTTCATCCAAGCCTCCAGGACTAGGGATTGATGACATGGTGACCAGATTATCATTTAACAGCAATAGACAAATTTCGTGTGGAGTAAGGTCTACTTTTAATATCTTTCTACTGTTTCTGAGTCACTGTATTTCCCACCATCCACTCCAAAGGCTGCACAGTCCATGTTTCAAAACCTGTGAGGGACAGAAAAGAAGGAATTAACATAAAAACACTTACTATTAAGATTGTTTCTACATCCATAATTTTACCAATAACATTATCATTAGAAGATACTGATCACTTTTCATATACATACATACATAGACAAAGAAAGTGTGTGTTTCTACACACAAGTATGTGTCTGGATTGGTGTACTAATTCTTGACTGTAGCATAGCATAGCATACTGCATAGCATACCACGTGGTCTACATCTATACCGCATGGTCTGCTACGGACGCCATGTGATACCCACGTGTAGCCAGGCTCCACCCAAGCCATGCTTGTGCTCTGCGCCCCCCTCTGGTCCGAATAAAAGGGAGGCCGGCTTTGACCCCCTCTCACGCCTTCAGCGACCTTTCCTGTGACCGGGAGTGACCGCTCACCCGGCGGCTGACCGGGCGATCACCAAGCCATGTGGCCGCGCCCAGGCTTGGGCTCGCTGGCCTCGGCTCCCGTCAGCACCACCAGCTTCAGTGCGTTGTCCATATTGCGATTCTCGTGTGTACATTTAAAAGTGCGTATAACTCTTAGAAATAAAGAGGACAGCCGCAAATCAGTGTTTTCACTAGCCGCCACCAGTTGTTCAAACTACACTATATAGGCCGTTAAGTACCTTTTATACTGACTTTGCTCTTCAAGGAAGTGTGCAAATTTCCAACTGGACAAGCACAACTGATGCCAAGTCACTAGCAATACACCATGCCATCAAAAAAGGTGTATTAGTTTTGCTCATTTATTTACTCTGTTTATTACTGTACTGCTGTTTGTGATTAGATTCCACCGCGAGAAATGAGAAAAAAAAAAACGTATAAGAAAGAATAATTCCCAAGTGCAAATGATGTATTTGCCGCGCTTCGATTATATCATGAGAAATACAAGTGTCAGCATGATCTTAAAACATACTCGTACACCAGACATGACAAGACCTCTCTCTCGCCATGCATGTTACGAGATGGCCTTCGAAGGACCCTCTTAGCTCCCGTTTTCTATGACCGACTGGCAGAAGACGTCGCATCTTGTAATGAATCCTTATGTGTTTTTTTTTTCCTATTCATCTTAATAATTTTACTGTAGTATCATGAATTCATGTATTATATATATGTATATATATATATATATATTATGTATATATATATATATATATATATATATATATATATATATATATAATATATATATATATATATATATATGTGTGTGTGTGTGTGTGTGTGTGTGTGTGTGTGTGTGTGTGTGTGTGTGTGTATGTATATATATGTATATATATGTATATATATACATATATATATATATATATTATCATATAACTTTTTAAATTGATGCACAGTTTTGGCACACACTACGTGTTTGGGGAGACTGTTCCACGCTTCAATAGTTCTGTTTACGAAACTATATTTTTTGACATCTTTATCACCTCTTTTTGCTTTCAACTTTTTGTTGTGTCCTCTCGTTCTTCTTGTGTTCAAGATCAAAACGTCATCTTTATCTATCTTCACTCTTCCTGTAATACAGTTGAACAGAATAATCATGCCCCCCCCCTTTCCTTCTTTCTTCCAAAGTAGTACGTCCTAATTTCTGTAGTCTATCTTCGTAACTCAGATCTCTTAGAGTAGGTGCCCATCTTGTCGCCGCTCTTTGGACTCTTTCCAGTTTGTCAATATCTCTTTTTAAGTGTGGATTCCATACCACTGCACCGTACTCAAGATTTGGTCTTATGATTGCTATAATGATCTTTACCATATCTTCGTTAACATACACGAATGGCCTCTTCATGTTGGCAATCAGTCCTATCATTTTATGGACCTTTTAATTTATATGGTACTTTGGATTTAGGTTTCTATTTATGATTATCCCAAGATCTTTTTCCCTGTTAGTTGTGTTTAATAGTGCATCCTGTAATTTATACTGGAATAGTGGGCGATTTCTACTTTCTCCAAACCTGACTACGTGGCATTTATTGGTATTGAATTCCATTTTCCATGTACAACTCCACGTGAATAAGTTCTCGATGTCACTTTGGAGGCATTGGCATGAGACGTTGTCTGTTACCCTCTTTTGTATCTTTGCGTCATCTACAAACACATTCAGATAACTACCTGGGCTTATGTTTGACTCTAAATCATTGTCGAAAATAGTAAACATAATCGGCGCCAACACCGATCCTTGAGGCACTCCGCTGGTTACTCGTCGCCATGTAGGATGCTTTCCTCTAATTACTGTGCTCATTTGGCTTTCATGAAGGTCTTTCATCCATGCGCGTAGTTTGCCTTTCACTGCTCTAATTTCCATAGTAGTCTTCTATGAGACACCTTTTTAAAGTCCAAGTACACACAATCCACCCAGCCGTCTCTTTCTTGTAATATTTCAGATACTCTATCATAAAAACAGGAGATTTGTTACCCACGACCTCTAAAACCAAATTGTTTACTTGATATCACTTCGTGTTTTTCAAGCATTTCACCCCATTGCTTCCTAATTATTTTTCTAGCAGTTTGCATACTACAATAGTTAACGAAACTGGTCTCTAATTTAGTGGGATTTGTTTGTCACTGCTCTTATATAAGGGTGTAACATTTGCGAGTTTCCAACTTTTTGGTAGTTTATCTTGTCTTAGTGAATTTTGGAATATTGACAATAAAAGAGTACATAGTTCTTCGGCATATTCCCTGAGAACCCTGTTAGAAATTTCCTCTGGTCCCTCTGCTTCGGTCTTGTCTAATCCTTTTAGTAGATCTTTTATTTCATTCTTTTTGAGGGTGATATTTTCGGTGCACTTTACGTTTGTACGGGTATTTGCCATATCAAAATATGGATCCTGAACAAACACTGACTGAAATTTCTCATTTAAGATTTCACACATTTCTTCCTCCTTATAATATATAATGTCTTTGATGGCGCTAATTTGATCTCTACTCTTAGTTTAACTATTTATGTAGTTACAGAAGAGTTTTGGTTGACGTATATTTGTTGTTAATATCCTTTTCAAAGTTTAATTTCGCCTCTCTCATGGTTTGGGTATACTCATTTCTTCCTACATTATATCTTTCATACGCTGCCTGAGATCTTTGTCTTCAGAATCTTTTCCAAAGAAGATGCTTTTTTTCTCTTATTTTCTTGCATTTGTCGTTGAACAATTCTTTTGCAATTTCTTGCTTCAGTTTTGAATTTTGATATGAATTTATCCACTCCTTTTTTACAGATCTCACAAAATGTTGAATACTGAACATCAAGGTTCTCATCGTCCAGAAGTGTTTCCCAGTTTATGCTACCAAAGAAATCATCTCTTTTGTAATTGTACTTTTCCTTTCTTTCCCTGCTTACGATGAGTTCTTGTAACAGACAGTATTTTGGTTTAATCACTACATGGTCGCTTCTTCCTAAAGGAGGACAGTAATCGATATCCTTAATATCATCGTTATGCTTTGTAAATATTAGGTCAAGCATAGGCCTACTAATCTAGCCCTCTTATACTGGTATGATCTGTGACATTCTGGAAAGGACAATGCTCATTTATGACTTCTAGTAATTTAACATTCCACGAACCTAGTTGCGCTCTGGGTTCGAAACATTCCGAGTCGAGTTTGTGATAAGAATTTCTTTTGAATTGGTTTCCGAAAGTTGTAGCACTTCTTCCATGTTCTTTAGTGTCTTGAATTAGTTTCTGGTAATTTTCTTGTGACCACACCGATGTTTAAGGTGGCATGTATACCGTGGTTATTTTTATGTTTACCCTGTTTGTTTCTACCTCAATTACCTTCATTCCCACTATGGGATCCTGATTAATCTCTAACTCCTTTGTAATAATTCCTTTCCTTGCTAATATTGGTACCCCCCTCCATTTCCATCTGCTTTATCTTTTCTTCAAATATAGTCTTTCAGTCCTTATGTTACATCGTCTATGGAAGGATCCAGTTTGGTTTCAGTGATGCATATTACATCTGGTTTGTTCATATCAATTATTGTCTCTAGTTCATGCAACTTCGAAGATAATATTTGTATACACCATTTCTGTATAATCTTTCAGTATTAATTTTGGTTGCAGGGTTAATGATTGTCTGTCTCTACATTTTGGTTCCGATAGCATATTTGCTTTGCTTGGGGACCTCTCACCCTCCAAATAAACAAGTTTTTTTTTTCTTCTTCAGTCCATTGTTCATTTTTGTTTTTTACTTCCATTTTTTTTTTTTTTTTTTTTTTGTGGTTACTCTGTCATCTTTGGTCATATTTTCTCTTATCCAGATTTTTTTTTTATTCCTCATGGGTGACCAGAACTTTGGCTTTCTTTATTATATCAGTTACCCGTTACTTTTAGAGGCCGTTTCTTTCCCTTTTCGAATAATCCCAGCCTCCTGTGAGCTATGATATTCTGCTCGGCGAATTCGGGATTCATGACCTTGAGAATATCTACAATTCATTTCTTGTCTTCGTTGTATCGTTCAATTCCATCTTCTACAACTTTTTCTTCGTGTCCCAATATGACTATGTCCTTGTTTACGTCAGCCAGATTAGCTATATTTCTTGCATGTTGTCTAAGGTGGGATCTGAATTCGTCTGCAAGCTGTGTCTTAATTTCTTCCTTTGTGATCTTGATGTCTTTTTCATTTTTTTTTTCCATTCCATTTACGGCTTTCTTTATCTTTGATACAACAGCATATGTAGCTATCATCTTTTTAGTTTCTTCCATTACCTGCGCTTGGCTGCTTGACAAATTACTTTCTGTTTGACAGTTTCTTGTACTTTAACAACCTCCTCAACTTTTTCCTGTAGATTTTTTGCTTCGGTTTCACTACCGTTGCCAATTTTGGTTTCAGCGTCTTCAAACTTTTCCTTTTGTTCTTTATTTTTCAGGTCAGATTTTTCCATATTTTATCTCTGAATAGTTGTGTTTCTACGCAAGTTTTCTGCCAGTTCCTTCAGATTCACATTCTCTTCACGTATTTAGAGGAATTCTGCCACCAGGTTGTCAACCTTGGCTTCAAGAGCCTCAATTCTGACAGCTGCTTCTGCTAACTTCATTTTTCTCGTCTGATCTCAGTTGTTCCTCGTTAAACAAACAAAAAACAGAGCTGTACTCACGTCAGTTGTCTCGAGGCGCGAAAAGCTTACCATGCAGGATTCGCGGTCACTTCTCGCCTTCCTCTCCTCCTCTCTCACGTCCCGGCGCACAAAGCCTCACTATCTTTTTTCTTTTTTTCACTTATTCCTTCACTTTTAACCCAAATTTTCCTTTCAACATGAACTATACACATTTACATAAACCCATGGCTAGCAGACTAGACCACCCATTGCTCAATCCTCAAAAACTTGTGTGTGTGTGTGTGTGTGCACGTTTGTATGTATGTATGTGTATATATGTAAATATATGCAATATGTAGTTATAAGTTTTTATATGTATATATGAACATTTCTATCTATGTATATGTGTATACACACACACACACACACACATATATAATATATATATATATATATATATATATATATATATATATATATGTATGTATTTATATATATATAAATATATATATAAATATATATATATACATATAATATATATATATATATATATATATATATAATATATAATATATATATATATATATATATATATATTATATATATGTATACACATATACATAATACAAACATTTATGTATATATATATATATATATATATATATATATATATATATATATACACCTATGTATATATAGGTATATATGTGTATGTTAATATGGAATGTATATCTATATCGCAATCTATATCTATATCTATCTATCACATTATAAGTTGTGAAAAGCAGCCTATACAGCGAGCAGGTTCCTCCAGCCGAAACAGAGCCTACCTGACGCCCATTCTCCTTCTGAAATCACTTGTTACCATCAGGTGGAATTCCAAAACTTACGACGTGCACGAAGCCCCTAAACGTTTGAAGAAATTACCAGAGTGAGTGGCGTACACAGATAACCTCTGTGAAAATGAGTGTCCTCTCATAATATGGTGATGATAGTTAAAGGAAGGAGAAGTGGAATATAGATGAAAATTAATATGACAGTGACAAAGGGACTGAGAGAGGGAAAAGGGACACAGTAAAGGGGAACAAACGGAAAAATGGAAGAGGGAAAGAGAACGTGATAAGAAAGAGGAGGGAGAAAACGAAGAAATGTAGAGTTGAGAAAGAAAGGGAAAGCGTAAAAATGCATAATAAATGTTGAAATTAACAACTTTTCACATTAATTTAGTCCTACTTCGCAACGAAAGAAAACGTACTGTTTACATTCGCCCGTGGAAACTCAAGCCAACAAGAATTGCAAAATGCCATTTCTAACGACGAATATATATCACATATTAATGAATAAGAGTCTGCACCATCAATGCACCCTATACGATAATATGCAGTCTTAACGACAGTGTTTACCTCACCTTTTCCCTTAACACACCCTACTACAATCGGCACTATCGCACTTCTGCTCTCATATCTATGCGAACTATAGGACAGGTAACTCAGACCTATGTGCACGATAGGGTAGGTGAATCATTCACAAGGGTATCACACATTCTGCCAAGGAGTACCCCTACACCCACTGATACTGCCGTTCTTCGGCTGACTGACTTTCTGAGAATCTCACTCATAATATAGGATAGAGTGACACCACATCACGTGGCCCAGGGTTGCTAGATATGTCTATCCAGTTAGGGTTTACCCACCGAAGAATGTGTGATAGATGGGACTCTATTCTGACGAATGCCGTCTGGACAATCTCCCTTTTAGCTTTATATTGCTGAGCCAGTCCTCCTGATTGTCTTATCAGATGACGTCATGTACTAAAAATAACCGTGAATGAGTTGCCATGCAACGGTTGGTCACCACAACACTACTGTGTTATTACTACAGTGTGCCGGACGGTGATGATATGTGTGAATGGGAAGATGTGGAAATGGCTAAATATGAGAGAGGGAGAGGGAGAGAGGGACACGCAAACGCATATGCACGCATGCACGCGCACACATACGCACGCACATACGCACACACACACACACAGATAAGAGAGATACGGGGGATATCTCTGACAACCACGCATCCACCGGAAAGGGAAACTGAACAGCGTCAACCCTACTACATCGGGTTCCGTGCGGCCTCCTATTATCTCGGGCGACCTCTTGCCCCATCCCTAATGCAATCGGATCAACCATGTTGCAATATTCTTGGTTATCATTCCATTTGGCCCCATACACACCTCGTGGTTCCTCTTCGTTTCCTGGCGTAAAATATCTGATGAACAAAATGAATGGGACTGTTTAGTTGTAAGAGGTACTAACACTTGTTTATAGTGTAGTTTGAATTACAGGTGGCGTCAGTGATACACTATGTGGCTGTTCTCTTTATTGCTAAGAGTTATAAGCACTTAGTATACGACACAAGGAACAGGATATCTGGCGGTGCGGGAGGTCAGGTCAGGAGGTCAGGAGCGACCAACCCGCCAAGGGGCCGGCTCGTCGAAGGTGCGAGCTGAGTGAGTGAGGGAGGGAGCCCCACGCCCTGCTCGGGCAGGCGACCCCGAGAGAGTGAGAATGAGTCCAGTTGGGTCGTTCTAAGGTCGGGTCTCTTCTGCCCTGGGTTGACCCAGCGCGCCGGACGGCGTGGTAGAACAAGCATCCGGTACCAACAACAGGCCTGGGTGAAGCGAGGGGCAGCGAGAGCGGGGCACGCCCACGTGACGACCACGCGGGCCGCTAGATATGAATGCACGTGGTTTGTGAGATTGCATGTATTGCACCCTTTATATTAGTGTTAGCATTTTAAATTTCGATTTTTGGTCGATCTTCGTATGACTGCCGTTCGTAGAGTGCGAAAAGCTCCGCGTCCCAGCTGGCTCGCCAAACGTTTCGTGTCCCAGCAGGAAGCACTTGTGGCCGGCCTCGGACCTAGTGGGATCCTGGGCCAATAGGGTTTAGAGACCTATGAATTTGTACTTGAAATTTCCAACTATGTAGGTGTCTAAAGTCAATCATATCAATGCGCATGTAAAAAAAAGGGGCGCCGTAGCCAGAATTACAAATCATCACACTATTGAGTTCCAACGTGATATTCGTTACACTTTAGTATAAACAGAGTTGGGCAACAAAACATTTAGCGGCGGCGCACTTCACGGCCCCACGGTTCGCAGGTGCTGCCCGCCATGCCCCGCAGCAAGACCTCGCAGCCAGGGTCTCGCCCGCCGACCCCGGAGGACGCAGGACTTGAGGCTGAACCACCCGCTGGACCAGACCCGAGGTTGGCACCTGCTGGGAGTACCGTGGCTTCGGGAGGTGTGCTGCCAGATGCCGGGGCTGTCCCGGCTGGTGGCTTGGAACTGCACAGCACAACTGGCCCAGTTGGAAGGCCGGCTTATGGACCGTTTAGGAACACAGGTAGGGTACCAGGTGGCACAGATGCAGGCGTTGATGCCAGCAGCCCACACCGTCCACCGCTGCCGAGGGGATGTTGCCAGCCACTGCTGCGACGCTACCACCCTCGTCAGCCCTCCAGACCCGTAGAGAGGAGGCCGCTGAGCAGCCGCCTCGTCCGCGAGTACGCGGCGTCCTGCTCCTGTAGCCTCGTGCCTGGGTCCTGTGGTGGGAGACCAGCCAGATGCTGATGCAGGAGAGAGGAGAGACGCCCGAGGGCATCAGTGGGTTATGGCCGCTACCTCTAGAGAACCAGCTATGCACATGCGTATATACATGCATAGTTACCTGATAGATAGATTAATGTTTATTTATTAGATAGACAGATGTGCATTTATTCCTGTGTACATGTCTATATACATATCTGTATATATGAATATTTATTACACACACACACACACACACACACACACACACACACACACACACACACATATACATATATATATATATATATATATATATATATATATATATATATATATATATATTATATATGTATGTATGTATGTATGTATATAGGTTGAGCCTAGCACAATCCTAACAAACTGGCAAATAGTAACATAACTGAAGAGTAATAGTAGTAGTAGTGGTGGTAGTAGTAAAAATAATACTTGCAGTAGTACAGTAGCACTCGGGTCCTGGTGGCACTGAGGCAGCTGGTGCTCCCCTCCCATCGCCCTCGGGCATCTGACAGCAGACCAGGAGGGGCAGCTGCGTGAAGTGCTCGACCAGTTCCCAACTCTGTTCTCTGGAGACAATCTGGCAGTAGGTAGGAGCAGGAGTGCACCATTGCATCGTTAGTGACGTTTAATTGCTCTTGTAGCTAAAATTGTTGACATTTCAAAGCTATATATTTCATATTTTCATTTAATCTTTTTTCTCTTGAAAAGGATGTAATTTTATATCTAATGATTTAATGCGATAATTGCGACCATGATAGAAATCAAATAATCAAGTTTCATAATATAACACGAACTATCTGTACCATTATCGTAAGAAATATTCTACTATTGCTATGCTTGTTGATGGTGCAATTTAAAGAAATTTTATGCTTAACTGAACGGCTTTGCCCATCTTCAATCTTTTGTTTCAATTCCAAACCTGATATTACTGAGGGAAATTTGTTTTACCGTAAAAAAAAAAATCTCTTAATGGAGTTTGAGAAAAATCTTGTAATGGAGTGAAAATATTTACAGTTTCAGACATATTTTTGGACGAATAAAACAACAGGAAAAAGTATGGTTATTGTTATAAAGTTGTGAGACAGTGATTAGTATATAGTGGGCCTGTTTTTTTCATCATTATTATGTCTAAATATTTAATTGGGAATGATGAAGCGGTTTCAGGTAGATTTAGGTGTTGCAGTTTCAATAAACTTCACAGCGTTTGGGTTACATTATTTTCCCTTTGGTCTTGTTATGTCATTATCTGAAGATCATCTGCTTCCTCCATCACCCTTGTCAGTGTCAGGATTACCAACATTTTCACTCATTCGAAAGATGTTTCTTCTGCATAACTCGGTTTAGGCAACCACTGCTTCCTTTCCACTCTTTGCTCTACATCTCACCTGACGATACTGGTATATCACTGCCAGCCATCTTCGCTCTAATCCATTGAAGATAATGAGAAACTATACAGAATTATTGTCAGACCACAAAAAGTTTCTCCTCTCCCTGTCTTCAATACTAACCATTCTAATTTTCATTTTCATTTTTAGATTTCTAGTTATTAGTTGCAACGATATAGTACGTCTATCGATTGGGCGATTCCTCTATTTACATCATTATCAATGAAGTCATTTCTAATAGCAAGATAAAACTAGGGCATTACCCAAGCCTACCGAGGAGACATGGGTAACTATAGCTGCATGTCACCAGGGTTTAGAGAACTTTCCAAACCAGAAAGGGGCTGTAGATGGCAGACGTAAAAATGCAGACATCAGAACCAGCTCCGTCATCATTTTTTATAGAGACAACCAAACTTTTTCCGCTGTCTTGACTTGCATCTGCGAATACGGATTATAAGTTTATGACACTGGATCGCACAGTAAGAATGGGGCTTGGGTATCTTTTCCCCATTCAAAGCCTAGTGAATGTTTCGACGGATATCTCAATTTCCCCTCCCCTATACCAGCATGTAATGTCCCCATGTCCTGCACCTTATTATTGTAGTGAACGAAGCTTTCCCTTTGGAATCGTACGAGCTGAGACCTAATCCTGGTTCGCAGAATAAAGATGCTTAAAAGACCCATTTCATATGTTACCTCCCACGTGAAAATATGTTGTACAGAGCACTTTTAGGATATTCAACCAGAAATGCCTACGTATAAACGACAGAGCACGCGCATCACTGTTTCTATAATACTGTTGATAACCTCATTGGATCGCTCGTCCCACCGACGCATAGTGGCAAGAGCTAGTGACCTCGACTCCGCGAATGACCTGACACCCACACACACGCACGGTACTCCCCCTCTTTCTACTCCTTTAACTACTGTACTATCATACAATAAATGACCGTTGGAATATGACATTTTAGCTCTAGCGAAGAACTTACTAAAAACTCCCACCACAATACAATACCATAGTGCTATACAACCTTTGATGTCTAGCACATTTATTTTCTTGTGTCATTATTACTTACGTACGCACAGTGTTGATGTGATATAAAAAGGAGGGTGATTGAACAGTTTACTCAGGATGGTATGTCACCTTTAGACGGTGTAATGTAGCCAATTAAAAACTGCCCAACAAGGATTCACAGTAGACTGCATAATCCAGTTCAATGACATTTGATGTAAGTCGATCGTCTACAAGTCAGTTTTCTAGATGCTTTTTGCTGCCATTTGTAGGCTTTGGAATAGATTGCCTTCAGAGACTGTAACTTCGATTCTGGATAAGCTTGAAAGATCAGCTAACATGTTCTTTTCTTACGTAAATAGCTGACTTTCTATTCTTCCATTCTTTCTCAGCTGTAGCTTGACCTGCACTGACACCTTTCATGGTATGAATTTTTTTTTTTTCAGTGTGGCTCTTTATATAGCTTACAATAATAATAATAACAGTATGTTTTGAATAGTCTCTCTCTATCTATCTGTCTCTGTCTCTGTCTCTGTCTAGATCTCTCTCTCTCTCTCTCTCTCTCTCTCTCTCTCTCTCTCTCTCTCTCTCTCTCTCTCTCTCTCTCTCTCTCTCTCTCTCTCTCTCTCTCTCTCTCTCTCTCTCTCTCTCTCTCTCTCTCTCTCTCTCTCTCTCTCTCTCTCTCTCTCTCTCTCTCTCTCTCTCTCTCTCTCTCTCTCTCTCTCTCTCTCTCTCTCTCTCTCTCTCTCTCTCTCTCTCTCTCTCTCTCTCTCTCTCTCTCTCT